GACGTTGTAACTTACCATACTAACAGCCTAGGTACTTGCTAAAAGGCCCAGCTCGATAGTCTTTTGGAATACTCTCATTTCTCAAGAGTGCGCATCTTTAGGCGAATTATATGCTTACGAATTAATTCCATGGAGAAATCAATGGTACGGATAATATTGTGTGAGTAGGCTTGAAACGACGGAACCGGTTCAGATTCGGTCGTAATATGTTTTGCAAAGAATGCACTCAACAAATCGGCCTTGTCCGTGTCTTTGCGCACGAAGTCTTCACCTTCATTTAGTAGCGGAGGAATTTCGTAACCTAGTTTAGAGGAGGACCGATGACGGAACAATTGAGCAACGGCGTTTGCAGAGTTCAGCTGGCTAAGTGTATTAAAAACGACCAACATGAACTCAGAAAGACATGCATTCTTGTTCATGAGGGAGAGACTCTGCCAGCCCGATGGGTCAAGATAATTGTTGATTAGGCCTATATCTGCGAGGTCATAAGCATGATAGCTACGAACGATGCTAGCCTTTTTCGCAGAAAGAAGCGGAAGGCAACAGTGAATTGAAGTATGATTAATTTAGAAGATGTCCTGCTTAAAATCAACGAAGAGGTAAATAATACTGTTTGTAAAAATCAGATATAAAATATGATTTTCTTTTTGGGGAGCGGACCAATTGAGATCAGTTAGCAAAATTAATAGCCTCTAGTGAAATTTGAAATTTAGGTGAACAAGAGTTTGAAAGTCGGTCGATTTCGGGAAAATTAAGATCTCCAGCAGTAATTTTAACTTTAAAAGCGGACTCTGAAATTAATTTAAATATTTCACAAAGATTTGCATAATCTTCCGATGATGAGTTAAGGGGATTATATATGCATCCAAGAATCACCATTGGCCGAGGCGACAGGATAACAGAAGCGAAGCAATAATTTCCAGAGAAGGACGTGGCATTTATAGTAAACGGAAAGTGCTTTTAGGACGTTCTAATATAGAGAAGAAAACCACCACCACGCTTATTAACGCGATCCTGACGGTAGAGATCGTAGTCACCTATGATAAGGGAGGAGTCATAAATTATGGTTGGGTGGGTCCAAGATTCTGATGCATATATGCGTCATCTCAAAAGCAATGCCTCTAAGTTGAGCCTGGAATTATGCACTTTGACATCTAGTGTGCTTCGAGTGGCGGTACCATGACTACCGTCATTCATAAAAACGAATTTGGAGGTGAGTAGTTAAACTGTAGGCCAATATTAACTAAGGGAATAAGTAATGCCGGGTACATAGCTATTAGCATATGGATAGCCAATAATGGGTAACTGATAAGGTTGGAAATATCAAGGGATCCCATTTTCTGGCATGAGAAAATGAGGAGAAGATAAACCGAAATAAGCTTATTAGCTATCAGGGAGGAATAGGGGAAGGCTAGAAGGCACCTAGAGGTCTGCGGGGGTGGGTAAAGAAACTGAAAGGGGGAAACTGTGACACGAATTTACTGTTATGGCCGTTTGCGTAAGAACTAGTGGCCTTAACCAATGAATCTCCTGTGCTGTGACTCAGATTAGATTTAAGGCTATTCATGTTATAGTTATTGGCGGGTGAAGTAAAGCTTCCGTGGTTGGTGTCCGACGCGTCCAATAATGCATTATATGGGGGAATAATATGACTCGTAGGGTAGAAGGAGGAGCTAGGTTGTGGTGGCTTAAATAACTTGTATTTTAATTGCGATGAGAGCGGATTTTGTATTTGAAAAACGCTATTTTTGTGATAGGCTCGGGAAATTTCACGGAGTGGCCTATAGAATTGCGTTCAAATAGAGAAGCGGTCGGTCTAAACGCTTTCAACGGGGTTGCCGACATTATTGATGGGCTCGCTGCAGCACAATATTGTGCTGATTCTGAACTATATTTCCCAAAACAATTAATGGAAAAATGTAAATGATTATGGTAAGCAAACTAGGTTTGTTGAACCAAATAATCAAATTCTCTCTAGAAAACAAGAAAAGAAAGCAAGAAAAAGCAGTGTTATAAAGACTCAGGTACATTAAACGACGGGGGTTTTGTGAAAGCAGTATATACTACTTTCACGAGACCCCCGTCGTTTAATGTACCTGATAATATGCTGGACATATTTATGCACCCTTAATTGATTTAACACTGCGGTCCCACGTTTGCGTACACGAAAACCGTTCAAGGAACGGCATTCTCAAATGCGTTGTTTAGTTCGTTTGCCTGTCGGACAGATAATACATTATGGCAGGAAACAGAATGCAAATGCTTAAAGGTGTGTAGGTTTAGTAGCATTAGGCCTAATAGCTGGCATATTTGGCTGTTTGTCTTTAATCCAAAAAGATTCCAAAGATTCAACACTTTATTTGAAAATATAAACTCTGTTGGGACACATTGGGCGACAGTAGACAGTTCGCGCAGAATATTGAAAAATAAATCTTCCCCAATGCACGTAGGCTCGATTAACATCTGGTAAAGGGACGGGGTATTGCAATTTGGAAGCCAGGGCAGAATAATCCCAGTACCTAAAATCCGATTGTAATAAACATGGTTTAATCTGCCATTCGTTCAGATTAAAAAGAGCGTAAGGATTAAGTTGTGTTAGTTTATCCTGCCCATGCAGCCTAGTTTGATTGTGGTGTGCAAACCTGGGGGTGCATTTTTTGCCGAGCTACCAGAATAATTAACCTTTGATAGTCTCGTCAATTTTCTTTTTCTGAAGTGATTGGTTTAATGTGGCGGATACACCTTTGCACGTCAACCCCACGATGGCAGCGTGCACAGCATTCAGGTTGTTGGACACCTTCCAACATGAACTTCATTCGCCTACTGCATTTTTATTGCTCTCCTCGCATAAAATTCGTAGGATATTGATCGCTAGTTCGAGAGGGAATTATTATCCACGTTATCTGCAACGGCGGCGTGATGGTATATCTTTTTCCTTTGCTCTCTCATATCGAAATACTGTTAATGCTTACGTTTTTCGCGAATCTCCTCCATCTTCCTTCACGTGTATTACCTTCATTTTTTTCATACAGTTAGTTTCACCCTTCCCACATTCTGGCAACCTGCGCGAGAACATTATATTCTCCGAATCTAATCGGCTTTGATTCTGTTAACGTCATCAAGGACCTGGAAAGTTACCACAAATTTGTGGATGATCCCTCCCCTAGTAAATGCTTCAAATCCATTCCCTGCTGTCTGATCAACCAGCAGATGCTTCCTATTCCAAGATAAAGGCTGAAGTCTTTCGACTTAACGGTATATCTGACGGCCAGCGCTACCACTCTTCAATCAAGAAAGTATCACTGGGTGACCGTTAGTCCCCACAGCTTCTCAGATCAATGCGCTTTCTACTTGGAGACGTGCAGATCAACAACAAACCATTCATAATTATCTTTCTGGAGCGTCTATCTGCTGATTTTCAAACACATTTAGCATCCGGGTTCCAAGATCGCGCGGCTGGCAGAAATGGCGAACCGGATGTTGGATGTCGCTGTAGGTAAAACGGAAATATTTAGAGGTATGCACCAATGAAATCCGAACGATTACCTTTCTAAAACATTTGGCTTTCGGATGGCCTTATGCAGCGGAAGAAAGGAGAAACTAAGGAGATCGATAATTTAAGTTGTCCTAGGACTGGTCTTTTCATTTAATATGTGGTGGCGGCTGAGAAGCAAAACGGAACAGCGCAATTGACTAATATGATTGCATCGTGCTCCAAATAGGCCGAGATTCGAGAGACAGCTTGACACCAGCCAAGTGCAAACAGCTTAACACCCCAAATTATGCAGTCACCTATTAGGACGCTTACAAACGTTCTCATTTAATGTTCCAAAATTAACAAATTTAACATCCTTACCTTTAGAGATCCACGACTTCCGAGGACTAGTCAAGCGACCTACAATTTTCAAAAGATAAATTCGTGAACATACGTTAGCTTTCGATAAATTCTCTTCTGGCCTATACATGTATATAGTAGTTTTAAAAGAATAAACTATGCTGATTGGTCTGATGTACTACAGGCATTACACGGATGATATAATCGTGGTTGCATCTGAACCAATCAACAATTCAGCTCTAATGCCGTAAATCTGATGCGCCTGTTGAAAACATTTACACTTGAAGAAGAAGAACTGTACGGACCACACCCGTTTCTCGATGTACTTTACAGTAAATGGTCTGACGGGAGTATTCAATGTAGAATCTATCGTAAGAAAAGGACTACTTCTGACTACGGCAACAACTAACCAAGTTACCTTCTGTCCAAGCACTCATTGTTAATATTAGTATTTGAAGACTTATAAATCACTTGCAGCATTAAAATGTATAAAGTAAACAAAGAGCATTAAAGTAATTAATGACGCTTTTAACCACGAAACAATTCCGTGAATAGGTAATGACGACACGTATGAACATTTTTAAGCTGTTTTAGTAGGTTCGCGTATTAATCATAGCTTGAGCGCGACGCGAACGCTGTGCAAAAGTGCAATCTAGAAAGTCACAAATGAATCGGTAAATCATTTCGTTTTCATGCCCTTTCGTCGTTGTATTCAAATTGGCGTTTTGTGATAAATACCACATCCTGGTAGTACAGCTGAATTTTGCCTGAAATCAAACATATCCCTTCGTCCCTATTTGGCAAATTTTTAGAGATCCCTATACACATATCAAAAACCATCGAAACTTATCTACGGTTATCAACTAACATTACATTTGACATATCTCTGCATTGCTTACTCGCTATTTTGTTCTTTTGATGGATTGTTCTTTTGATTGCGTCGAATTATGATGGTGAATGCGACACAAACAAATAGTCCCACAGAGAGGATGGCAAGAAGTACAGAGAGTCCAACAATAAGCCCATATGATTCAGACTCAGTCGCTTGAAAGTGAACAAACAGAAGCAGATGCAATCGGTAACTCTGAATTACAAGGGTTGATTGAAGTGATAATAGTAAGAGATAAGCAAGTGCGCATTTAACGAGGCTATAATATGATTACTTAAATAATTATTGCCATATACAGTCAACTATTGAAGTCCTTAGATCAAAATTACCAAAACGTATCTACTCAGACGATTAGCTAACTTTACTGTAAAAAAACATTTTTATATATTTAGGCCGAAGACACAATTTAAAAAGTGAGTATATGCTGTTGTATGTATGCCTTGAAATTGCTCATTTGCACTGGTTAAAACTCGCGTCAAAATGATAAACTGCTTACCTAGAGTCGTCAGCGTTATTGGGGCCGTGGTTCCGAATCCCAAATCTGTGTACACCCTCAATTTGATCCTGCAAGATCGAAATGGCACAGATATTGGTTGACTTTAACTAGCAGTCATGTCATACATTTCAAACAACTCATCCCTTAATGCACTTTTGACTAGAATTTATACTGTTGCTTTCGTTTAATAGAAAGCTCA